TGCTGCTTGTGTTCAGAAGAGCTGTTTTCTCATCAGGGCTGAGCAGGCAGTGAGGGGTTTCCTGTCCCATGTGTTTCAGAAGTCCCTGTTGTCTTTCACTGGGGTGATTCCCTTTCTGCTGCAGCAGCCTTGAGAGACATATGATGAAGCTTATGTTGGCAAAAGGCAAAAAGTCATCATGAAGGAGGCATTGTTTTGCTAATGAAGAGCACAGTTGTATTCTCTTACTTCTCTTGAGCTTTTTGTGCTTCAAAGCTGTCTGCCCAATGCTCCTGCAGCCTGGCAGCCTGCTTTGTTTTGGTTCTTGCTTCCTGGGCTGTGTTCTCACATGTACTGCCCAGGAAATCTCTGCCTCTCCTCCTCCTGCCAATGTTTTGTTCTTTTATCCTAATCAAAATTCCAACAGCTGAATTTGCCTGTGGACTTCCATGTGTGCTTTAGCCAGTTTGTCCATGTGCCACAGGCCTTGGGCATGCCAGGGGGTTCACCTGGTGCTTTCTGTAGAACACCACATGTTGTGTCTCAGCAGCATGATGAGCTTTATCTCAGTCTGGGCAAACAACTCACACTGAAACTTAATCAAAGCAGTTGCTTCTGGTGAGCATTAATGTGCTTTTCTCAGCTCATGTCTGTTTTGGCTTGTTTTTGGGATCACTTGGATTGAGATATTGCTGTTCCTTAGGCTTACAGAGCAAGGGAACCTGTGCCTTTAGAGGCTGGAAGTGCCATGGAAGTGTGTGAGCCCAAGGGGCAGAACATGTGGGGCAGAACAAAATCATGTGTTGTGGGAGGAGGGTGTACTGGCATCCAGTGTCTGCCATCCCTCAGCTGGTTTGGCTGTTACTTTTCAGCTGTTGACCAGCTGGTTTACATGGTCCAGGATTTGTTTTGATGTTGTGGATGGTATTTATTTAACTTGCAGCATGTCTTGGTTATCTTAGCAGCTGATAACATGGTTGGACCTTATTTAAATGGCATCTTCTGTCTGTCAGTGCCAAACATCTGAGGTCCCTGAGTAGTTTGAAATAGCTGTGCTGCAGCCTGTGCATTGGGATGTGACTTCTGAAGAACCTCAGGCGTTTTCCTCTCCATCCTTGTAAAACAGAAGGGAAGGAAAGGAATCATAGAATTTTAGGGGTTGGACTGGACCTTAGAGATGATCCAGCCCCAACCCCCTGCCCTGGGCAGGGACACCTCCCACCAGAGCAGGTTGCTCAAGGCTTTAGCCAACCTGGAATGAACACTGCCAGGGTTGGGACTTCTACTACCTCCCTGGGGAAAAAAAAGTAGTTTTGTCTCTTTTTACCTAAGAACTATGAGATTTAGCTCATTGTCCCAGTGGCATCCCTCAGACTAATAGTAAAAACCTGTATGGTGAATTGATCCCTAACCCAGAACATACATGAGCTTTCCCTGTCATCTTCTAGCTGAAGCTTTGCTGCTGATGTCCAGTAATCTTATTTTTAAACCACATCTGATTCATGCTGTATTTTCTATGCCAGATGAGGTCCTTGGTTGTGAGTAAGTGTTGTGACTGTAGCTGGCAGGAGTGCTGCATGATTGCCTCACTTCAGGAAATGTTAAAATAACACTTTTTTTCTTAGAAAGCTCATTTGCTCCCCTCCCACTTCTAATTCTCCTAATAGCTGCCCCCAGTTTGGCAGCTGTCTTAGAGGGTTGTTTGTGTTGCTGAGTGAGAGCAGAGACACTTCAGTGGATGCAGTGCTGGAGGAGAGGTACACAGAGTGAGCTAGTATCTCTAGCCAAGCTGGCTTAAACGTTTTAGAGGTTTCTCTGAAATCTGGAAGGAAAACTGCTAAACTGTGAGAAGAATCTTGCTCCTCCCCCTGGACTCTGTGACTGAAGCTGGGGATTTTTTCCTCTTGGAGAAGAGAAGCTGCCCCAGCTGAAGCTGAGACAAACCATACAGCAGGTTGTTCTGCTCCTTGTCTACAGTAATTCAGACTTTTGAGTACCAATAGCTGTTGGAATGGGTGTCCACCAAGGCTGGACCCTGTAGGTTTTGTCTGCTGTTTTAGAATTGCAAAGGGGCCTCCAAGGTACCTAGCAAAGCTTTAGACTCAGAATCATCAGGGTTAGAAGAGACCTTTAAGATCATCAAGTCCAACAAGAGACCTTTAAGATCATCAGGTCTTTAGTGGAGTTGAAGATAATTATCTCCTCAAACCTCTATCAGTGTCTGATAGCTGCTTTGCCAGCTGACCCGTGGAACCCTTCCTTGCTGGTGGAAAGGAAGGACAAGTTGTTGGGATAAACAGATGAATCCTGTGCTCTGTAAATGTGGCATAGGAAGCTGTAGGTGCTAATGTTTAACTTATCTCTTGTTTTCTTTTCCATCCATTAGGCAATACTGACTGGTGTGCATCTTGACACAGTCTCCTAGCAACCTTTCCTGCAGGGCTGAATGACAGCAGAAGCTGCCAGGTAAACCCATGAGCCTATAAAGAGGCGAAATCCGAACACACACGATGGGTCAGAAGGTCACAGGTGGGATAAAGACTGTGGATATGAGGGACCCTGTCTACAGACCATTGAAACAGGAGCTCCAAGGACTGGACTACAGCAAACCCACACGGTTGGACTTGCTGCTGGACATGCCTCCGGTGTCGTACGAAGTCCAGTTGCTGCATTCCTGGAACAACGACGACCGCTCGCTCAACGTGTTTGTGAAGGAGGATGACAAACTCATATTTCACCGGCATCCGGTGGCTCAGAGCACAGATGCCATCAGGGGCAAGGTGGGCTACACCCGGGGGCTGCACGTGTGGCAGATCACCTGGGCCATGCGGCAGCGCGGGACGCACGCCGTGGTCGGCGTGGCCACGGCCGAGGCTCCTCTGCATTCCGTGGGCTACACCACCCTGGTGGGCAACAACCACGAGTCCTGGGGCTGGGACCTCGGGCGCAACAGACTCTACCACGACGGCAAGAACCAGCCCAGTAAAACCTACCCTGCCTTCTTAGAACCAGACGAGACTTTCATTGTGCCAGACTCTTTCCTGGTGGTTCTGGACATGGATGATGGGACGCTGAGCTTCATTGTGGATGGGCAGTACATGGGTGTTGCCTTTCGAGGACTCAAAGGGAAAAAGTTATACCCGGTAGTAAGCGCAGTGTGGGGACACTGTGAAATAAGGATGTGCTACTTGAATGGACTTGACCGTGAGTATAACTTCCTGTGTTTGTTCCAGCAGCTCAGATCCATGTGCTGATTGAGTGTGGGCTCACTGGGCCATGCTGGGGAGGGGTTTCTTCTTTCTGGAGTGGTAAGGATTTCAGGTCAGCAGAAGGATTGTTGGATACAGCTCTGGCTAACACAAAAGGTTTGGCTGTACACCTGTACTCTTACCAAGGCACTGTGGGAGCAAACTGGGCTTGGGGAGAGAATGTGTTGGGAGAAGGTGGTGCCAGTTGTCCAACTAGAGATGCCAAATCTTCCTATAT